AGCATAGTCTAAATGAGGCCTAACCAAGGATATATAGAGTTGAAGAACAACCTGAGGACTTCTATTATTTATACTTCTAGATATGAAGCCAAGAATTCTGTTAGCTTTATTGCGAGCACTAATGCACTGTTGTCTTGGTTTTAGGTTACTGCTAACCAGAACTCCTAAATCCTTTTTACAATCGGTAGTATTAAGATCTACATTATTTAGTTTATATGTGGCATGGTTATTTAACTGTCCAACATTTAGAACTTTGCATTTGTCAATATTAAACTGCATATAAACATTGCATGTTTATATGCTAGGTTTATATGCTACATGATATGTAACGTGTTTCTTATATAATTTTGAAGAAAAGATCATTGATGGATTAATGAAAATGTCTATATTAATGTAAAATAAGACATTTAATGTGGCAAAGAGTGATTATTAAATATACATCACATATAATAAACATTGCATGTTTATATGCTCTGTAATGTGTTTCTTAAATAATTTTGAAGAAAATATCATAGATGGATTAATGAAAATGTCTATATTAACATAAAATAAGACATATAATATACCAGTGATAATTATTAAATATACATCGCATATAAACATTGCATGTTTTCATATACAGTGGTCCCTCAATAATCGTCCATAATCCGTTCCTGGAAGTGGGACTATTATCGAAATGGACGATTTACGAATCAATTTTCCCCATAAGAAATAATGTAAATTCCATTAATCCGTTCCTGACACCCAGAAGTATTAAAACAAAAAATTTTTTTTACATGAAATATAGATGTAATACATAAACAATACAGTGGCACATGATGAATTTAACATTAACAGAATAACACTTACCTTTATTGGCAATTCTTCTTTGTGTATGGAAGACTGGAGAAGGAGACTGATTGGATGAATTACTGTTTGGAAGGGGAATCCCCTTCCATCAACACCTCGGGTACCAATTGCTTTTCTGGGGTTACTTCTCTTCTCTGTTTCTTAATGCCACTAGGACCACCTTGAGAGTCACTGGAGTCCTGTCTCGCAAAAAAAACTGTCCAGAGAGCTCTGTTTCTGGCGTCTCTTTAAAACTTCCCTAAAATGGGCCAAGACTCTGTCACTGTACAAGTTGCCGATATGGCTTGCAACATCCTTCTCTGGGTGATGTTTCTCCATAAATCTTTCCATCCTACCCCACATTTCAAAAATCTCCTTAAATTCTGAAGAAGGCACCTTCCTCCATCTCTCTTCCTCCTCCTCCTCTGCAGCAAGATTCTGAGCTGCGATCTGTTGCTGTTCCTGCTGAAGCTCTTGCAGCTCCTCAGTGGTTAGCTCTTCGTTGTGGTCCTCCACCAACTCTTCCACATCCTCCAAACTCACATCCAACCCCATGGAAGTCCCCAGTGCCACAATGGATTTAACAACTGACATAGGCTCATCAGGGTCAGCCCCAAACCCTTCAAAATCCCTCTTGTGGACACAATCTGGCCACAATTTTCTCCAAGCATTGTTCAAAGTCCTGGTAGTCACTCGCTCCCAAGCCTTACCTATAAGGTTTATGCAATGGAGAATACTGAAATGTTCTTTCCAAAAATCTCGTAGGGTCAAGTGAGTGTCTGAGGTCACATTCAAGCACTTTTCAAACATTGCTTTGGTGTAGAGTTTTTTAAAGCTTGCAATGACCTGCTGGTCCATGGGCTGGAGGAGAGGAGTGGTATTCAGGGGCAAGAACTTTACTGTGATGAACCCAAACTCCTTCAGAATTAGGTCATCCAAGTTTGGAGGATGAGCAGGTGCATTGTTCATTACTAGGAGGCACTTGAGATCCAATTTCTTTTCCAGGAGGTAATTCTTCACACTAGGGCCAACCACTTCATTGAACCACTGTACAAAAATTTCCCTCGTGACCCATGCTATTAGATTTCCTATTAGATTTCCAAAACACACACAATTTACTCTTCATAACATTGTTTTTCCTGAACACACTGGGATTTTCAGAATGGTATACTAGTAATGGCTTCACTTTGAAATCCCCACTAGCATTAGCACAGAACATGAGCGTCAGCCTGTCTTTCATAGGCTTGTGTCCTGGCAGCACCTTTTCTTCCTGAGTAATGTAGGTCCTCTTTGGCATTTTCTTCCAAAAGAGGCCTGTTTCATCACAATTGAACACTTGTTCAGGTTTCAGTCCTTCAGCCTCTGTGTACTCCTGGAATTCATGGACATATTTTTCAGCCGCCTTGTGGTCCGAACTGGCAGCCTCGCCATGCCTTACCACACTGTGTATGCCAGTACACTTCTTAAATCTCTCAAACCAGCCTTTGCTGGCCTTAAATTCACTCGCATCATCACTAGTTGCAGGCAATTTCTTTACCAAATCGTCATGCAACTGCCATGCCTTTTCACAAATAAGCGACGTTATAAGACTATCTCCTGCTAATTGTTTCTCATTTATCCACACCAATAACAACTTCTTCAACATCTTCGAGTACTGGTGATCTCATTTTTGTCAGCATATATACTCCCTTTGCAACAACAGCATCCATGATTTCCTTTTTCTTGGCTATGATGTACGGGATTTGTTATACATCCTGGGCAGTTCGCCCACACGTACACCACTATCATATTGTTCAATTATGTTTTTCTTAAATTCAATCGTATTTCTCACCTTCTTTACCAAAGGCTTGGCACTAGGAGCTTTCTTTGGAGCCATGGTAGCTTATTTAGCACTTAAATAACTTTCAAGCACGTGAGGGGACCGTCGCTCACTGGTAAACAATGGCACACTGGCTGGGAAGGAAAGGCCGAGGCGGCTGGAGGCGGCTCAGACCGTGAGTACGCCTCCGGGACGAAGGACTATTAGCGAGTTACCGGACCATTTCCGAGTCAATATTTTGACGAAAAACAGGACTATTTCTGAAATGGACGACTTTCAGGCCGGACGATTATTGAGGGACCACTGTACTATGTAAAGTGTTTCTTTGGGCCCATGGTTGCTTATTTTGCAGTTGTACTCAATCAATAATCACAAAAAACAATGGATTATAGCAAAATGTTTGGATGAATGAGCAGAAGCTTCCTCACTCGCCCAGAGACAAAGCCAAACTGACCCACAAGTGGCCCCAGCTGGCGGATGGACGTCTCCCAAATGGCCAATAACCGAATTAACGGCCGATAACCGGGCGCCGAAAAAACGGCCGATAACTGAACTAAATGATAACCAGGGGTCCACTGTATATGGATTTTATTGCTCTGGGATGCTTAAATGTTAAGTGGATGGGGTGGGGTGGCCTGGCTGGGTACCATACTTATGGCACCTGATTTCTTGCTGTATATACTACTCATCTCACATTAAGACTACCAATATTTTAAGGTAAGTAATGAGTGTACTGTATGTGTATTTTACTTTTTTATTGTTTTTTAATGCCTAATTCTATTGCTAACTTAACCCTTTCAGGGTCCAAGGCCAAAATCTGAAGTGGTGCCCCAGTGTCCAAGAATATAAAAAAAAATTTTTTTATTTTTTCTTATGAAATGGTAGAGAACCTTTTTGTGAAGGTAATAAAACAAAAAGTACGAAATTTGATGGAAAATTGACGAAATTATGCTCTCGCGAATTTTGGTGTGTCAGCGATATTTATGAATCGACGATTTTGCCGCCTTTGACTCCCATTTTAGGCCAATTACATTATTCCAGTAGACCAAATTCTTAGCTATTTCACTAGTATTGCTTCTATTCTATCGATTGAGCACAAGAAATCGCCAAGTCAACTGTTTCAACTACAAAATAGTGATCGGAAATTGGTAATTTGGCCAATTTAACACAAAGTTCAAAATATTCCAATTTCCAGTGTCCAGAATAAACAATGTAGGCATTCCTGGCACTAAACTAACATTTCCTCTGTTCATTAGTCACGTTTTGAGGCTTTACAAATAAATTCCATTTTGATTTTTTATTCACATAATGAATTTTTATTCACACCAAAAAATAGATTTACTGTTATGCAATATTGTAATAATTGTATAAATATCATCACCACATTTGTGAATGTATATTAGACCCACCAGCTGGCGTGTATTAGACATGTGGGGTCGTTTGTTTACTCTTGAATATTGGCAAAAATTTAACATTTCTGCTACTTTGAGCTCAGTTTCAAGCTATTTCCAGTACTAAAACCAATCTAAATCATCTCTATTTCTGTAATATGTCTTCCATTCTATCAAATGAGACCAAGAAATCGCAAATACAATTATAAAAAACATACGAAAAAACACTGCAAAGTCGCTGTTTTAATCGAAAATCACGGTCTCGGTTATTTTTCTCTCATTATACACAGTGTGCTGCAGGATTTGTTTTATGTGGTGCACACATACCACATAGATGTATTCTCTCATATCTAGGTCCAAATTTACCACTCACAGTTTATCAGAGTGAGCTGAGCTCATGGCGTAGATCTACGGTTTGGACCCTGAACGTAAAGCCGTAGATCTACGGGACAGACCCTGAAAGGGTTAATATATGTTAGTGTAAACTTGCTATCTTGCATTTATATGCACTTATAAGTGGAAAAAAGGGCGTTCCACTTTACAGTGCTAGCCTGGAACCTAACCTGTTGTATCAAGTTGGGGCCCTACTGTTTAGGACTTGTATATAGGGTTTGCTACTAACCATGGTTTTGGTATCCACGACAGGTCCTTGGAACCTATCTCCTGTGGATATGGGGGTCCTACTGTACTTTATACTGTACATAAATAGAAGTTTGTGTGTATTCATGAAATCAGGGAATAAAAAGATGCCAAAGTACGAAACTTTTAATGGGTTTCCACTTGACACTATTCCAGGACAGTAGAACTTTCCACAACCAAAGTGCTACTTCTCTGCTGCTGCAAGGTTTTAAACTCTGTTTTTTTCTTTGTCATATTCTTTGCCCAGTATTTTATTTATAGGCTTACATATTTTTTCTTTAAATTTTGTATCCTTGTTCTGAACACTACAAATTTAATCTTAGGGGTTGTGGCAAGTGCAATGGCCAACCCTACAGATGTACTCAAGGTGCGACTACAGAGTGGACGCACAGAATTTAAGGAGAAGAGTCTTCTGCAAGCATTTCTCAGTATTTATAACCAGGAAGGTGTGCAGGGTCTATGGAGGGTAAGTTTTGCATTTACTGAATGACTGAATATTTTTTTGCATATATTTTGCAGTACAGTAAAATAATGAATATTATTGGAAACATTTTCTTACAATATGATTTGGCTATCACAGCATAAAAAATGATTACAATATTTGGAATTATTTATCAATTAACTTTTATTTTCAGGGAGTGTGTCCGACTGCTCAGAGAGCGGGTGTAATTGTGGGTGTGGAGCTGCCAATTTATGATATGTGCAAACACTATTTTATACAGATTAACTTGCTGCCAGACAATGCTACCAACCACTTCCTGTAGGTTATTCTGCAAGCTCTCTACCTTTTTTGTGGTGTTTTAGTTCAGCATTTATCATTGGAGAGACCTGAAAGCTAGACTGTAGTGAAGAATTATGGACATCGGTAGACTAATTTGTTATGTACTGCATCTTTACTTCATGGAATTTATTAATAAGTATAAATGTAATATTTTTTTTCTGTTTGAAATCGGTAATATATGTGCTATTTGTTCAAATTTCGTTACCAAAATTTGTGAAAGATACTTTTCATGAATTTTGGTTTACAGGAGCTGGTGAAGTATTGGTCATTATTCACTTTTCTAACCATTGTTTTTCTTGGCTAAGTGAAGCACTTCTCACATATTGTCTTTATTAATATAAAGTGGCCATCCCATTATATTTCTAGATGCATTTATAACCTGGTAGGTGTTATGCATTACCACTGGTCAAAGATCACCTTCTGCATGTCTTTCCTCATCCACAAGACTCCTATTCTTGTTATCTAATTAATCATACACAGCCTTAGCCTTTCCATCTTTGCTAAGAAGAGTTGTTCTCCTATAATGATTTAACCCTTTGGGGGTCGACAGGTCCTCTCAGAGACTTGTTATTTTTTCTTTCGAAAAGATAGATAATCTTTTCCCGATCATAATGACACCAAAAGTATGAAATTTGATGGAAAACTTACGGAATTATGCTCTCGCGAAGTTAGCGATCTCGACGATGTTTATGCATCGGCGATTTTGCCCACTTTGAGCCCTATTTTCGGTCAATTCCAGTGTACTAGTTGACAAAAATCATAACTATTTTGCTAAAACTCCATTTTTTCTATCAAATGAGTACAAGAAACCACCAATTTACCAATTTCAACTATCCAATAAAGTGGTCAGAATTTAGCAATTTTGCCAATTTCACACAAATTTCAAAAGATGCCAATTTCCGAATAGGTCCAGAATAAACAAGAAAGACATTCCTGGCACTAAAATAACAAGTTCTCTGTTTGTTAGTCACATCCCCAGACCCCTCTTATATTTCTTTGGCTTTCCACTTTGAATTTTTATTCTTAAAAAAAAAGATTTACTATTATGCAGACTACTGCATTAGTGTAGAAATGGTATAAATAATATCAGTGCACTTGTGAAAGAATATCAAACTCACCAGTTGACATGTATTGGATGCTTGGCATGATTTGTTTACTTTGAACTTTGGTAAAAATCTAACATTTCTGCTACTTTGAGCTCAATTTCAAGGTACTTTTCATTGTAAAACCAGTCAAAATCATCTCAATTTCTGTAATACGTCTTCCATTCTATAAAATGAGACCAAGAAAACTAGAATGCAACAATAAATACCATACGAAAATACAGTGCAAAGTCGCTGTTTTAATCCAAAAACACGGTCAAAGTTTTTTTTTTTCTTATTACGCACTGTGTGGTGCAGGATTTTTTTTTTACCACGCACACTGACCACATAGACCCATTCTTACATATGTAGGCCTACCAGCTTTCTCTCACTAGATTTGAGGGCACTAGAATTTAGGCGTACTAGTACGTCAAAAACCCTGGGTCATAAGCCGTACTAGTACGTCCGAAACCCCAAAGGGTTAATTATTTCTACTTTACCTCCGCATAACAGCAACCACTGCTTCTGTTGAGTATCAATTTTGCCATTATTTCTTCTCCAGCCTTATGTTTATCCTCACTTTATCACCTGCTTCTGTTTATCAGGTTTGCCTCCCTTCCCCCCACACACACACTCACACATTCTCTCTCTCTCTTGTTACACAGGGTTTGACAAGGTTAGGTTAAGGATTCCTAACTTTATTGACAAGCTAAGAGCAGTTACCTACATTGGTTCATTTGATAGAACTTTTGTTTTGAAACATACAAGTAGGGAACAGGATGAAGTTGGAGCCATCTGTGGGCCAGCATTTTCATTTGATCAACTGACTTCATCTCGTTAACATCATAATGCTGTGCGAATGTGTTCCAGACTTGAGTCATCCTGGGGATAAATGATCTCGGATGAAGTGATGTTCTGGAGAAGGGTACAGCCAGAGTGAAATTGCTGCTTTCTGCCCATCTTGTGGTATAGAAGCTTGCTTCATGCTGTCCTCGAAGTGGATCGAAGTGTGGTACTTCGACAATGTTAGCCTTGTATATAACAGTAAGGCCACCCACATCCCTCCTGTGTTGAAGGCTCTGCTGAAATGACACATCTATCCAGGATGGGTCAAGCAGTCGCAGATGAGAGGGGGCGGGGGTCAGGCAAACCAAGAAAGTGGAGCATACTCAAGGTGTTAGCGTACTTGTGCCTCATACAGAATCTTGCAACCCCTACTGTCAAGCAGATGTAAGATACGTTGAAGTGCTGTAAGCTTCTTGGCTCCCTTGTTTGCAAGATTTACAACGTGGTTCTTCATGGCCAGTTTGGAGTCAAATTTCACCCCAAGGATATCAGCTTCTTTCCCAGTTACCAACACGCTCATTCATACTTACTACTGATCCGGCATTACTATCATGGTTCCTAGCGACCATCATCATTTGTGTTTTCTCAGGTGCAAATGTTACTTGCCATCGGTTTCCCCAAGCTGATATAGCTCTTAGCTGGTGATTGATGTAGGTTAGAGCATCTGGCATTTCTTCTCTTGGATAAGTAAATGTCAGAGTGTAGTCATCCACATACACATGGGATTCTGGGATGAGATGAAGGAGGCCATTGAAGTAGACATTTCATAACAATGGTCTCAGCACACTTCCTTGTGGAACACTTGCCCCAATAGGATGTCTTGCTGATTCTGTTCCATTGAGAACTACCCTTAGAGATCTACCATGAAGGTAATCACTGAGGAGACATAGCGTAGAGCCTGCAATTCCCAGTGCTTGCAGTTTTGCTAAGAGGCCCTGGTGCCACACCCGGTCGAAAGCACCAGCAGTGTCCAGTGCTACCACACAGCTGACCTTGGATTCATCCAGTGACTGGTGCCATTTTGTGGAGAGGTTTAACAGATCAGTAACAGAGTAACCTTTCCTGAAGCCATATTGACAGTCACAAAGTAGTGAGTGGTAGTCAAAAAACTATAATTTGTCTTGAGATTATTGTCTCAAGGATCTTGCCAGTGATTGATAGGAGTGACACTGGTCTGTAGTTGCAGATTTCTGTTCTGCTTTTCTTTTTGTAAAGAGGGACTACATTTGCCTCTTTCAACAGAGAAGCCCATTTATACTATACTAGGCAGTGCTGAAAGATGCGAGTTAGAGGTGCTGCTAGCTGGTCTGCACATCATCTCAGCAATCTTGGGCTCAACTTGTCTGGGCCCACAGCCTTTTCTTGGTCAAGCAATTTAAGAAGGAAATGCACCTCCTCCTGCTTTATTATCACCACTTAGAGTTTTGACACAGTTCTTGCAGCTAGCCAAGGAGGGTCCCTTGCTGGATCAGGAACTTGCATTTTGGTAGCAGTGTTCAGCAAAGAGGTCGCTTTCTCTTGACTACTAGTAGAGATGGTCCCATCCTGTTGATTAAGAGGTGGAATGAGTTCATCAGGCAGATAACCTTGTCTGTCCTTGACCAGGGACCACCAGGTTTTGGAGCCTACTCTGCCTGATGCTAGCTTTTCTCTTTGTGTTCACCTCCCATTTAGCAATGGCCCACTTTTAAACTTCACCCATATGCCTACAGACTTGCCTGTGCACGTTCCTGTTAGAGGTGGTAGGATGTCTCTTATACCTTCACCATGCCTTGTACTTAGCAGTAGCAGCCTCTCTACAACAAAAGCCAAACTAAGGCTTATCTGTTGACTTTGTCACTTAATACTGGTGAGGGATGTGCTCCTGTTGTAGATTAAGGATGTGTCCAGTGAAGCCCTTTTTTTATTTATTATTATTATTATTATTATTATTATTATTATTATTATTATATTATTATTATTATTATTATTATTATTTATTATTATTATTATTATTATATTATTATTATTATTATTATTATTATTATTATTATTATTATTATTATTATACACACAGGTTTTGACAAGGTTAGGTTAAGGTTGTCAGCATCCCCTTGAAGAAGAGCATTTCAGTCTGTGGTGGTGAGCTCAGATCAAAGGACTGGCCAATTACCTCTTTCCCATAGACAGGTTGTGTGTGTGAACTCCTCACCTCATTCTGTTGGGATCTTAAGTGTCGTAAAAACAGCCTAGTGGTCAGATGATCCAACATAGCCGAGGGGCTGGCAAGTGACTATACCTTCTGCCAGATCACTCACTACTGGGTCAAGGGAGGAGCCAGAGATGTCAGTAGGGAAATCAACAAACTTTCTCATGTCAAACACTGCATCAAAGTCCCTCTGTATAAGATGATGGTTGAGGTCACCAACAATTATGATATGTTGGCAGTTGTGGTGGAGCAGAAGGGAGTTCACATTTTCCATTAGGAAGTTGATGGGGTCTGTGTGTTGCCACTGAGGTCTGTACATTACACATACTAGTACAGAGGTACTAGTGTTTATGCATACCTTGAACATCATTTCAAGATGAGTAGGGATGGCAACATCAGTGTGCTGGGGATGTACACTTCTCATCGTCCTATGAAGAAAGGTTAAGGGAAATTGGTCTGACGACACTGGAGGACAGGAGGGTCAGGGGAAACATGATAATGACATAAAATACTGTGCTGAATAGAGAAGGTGGACAAAGACAGGATGGGATACAGAAACAAGGGGTCACAATTGGAAGTTGAAGACTCAGATGAGTCAGAGGGATGTTTGGAAGTATTTCTTCAGTCGTAGAGTTGTCAGGAAGTGGAATAGCCTAGAAAGTGACATAGTGGAGGCGGGAACCATACATAGTTTTAAGATAAGGTTTGATAAAGCTCATGGAGCAGGGAGAGAGAGGACCTAGTAACAATCAGCGAAGAGCCAGGGCCAGGAGCTGAGACTTGACCCCTACAACCACAAATAGCCGAGTACACACACACACATTATATCTCGCCTCTCTCTCTCTCTCTCTCTCTCTCTTTTT